GTGTGTGTGTGTGTGTGTGTGTGTGTGTGTGTGTGTGTGTGTGTGTGTGTGTATTAACTAAATGCCTGGTTAATACACAGTACATTACTGCATATGCATAATAGCAGCTCAAAGCACAAGTTTGAAGAAGAGGTGTAGTTTCATTGTCTGATAATACTTAGCTAAAGCTTAAATTGTGTGTATTTTGTGTGTTTCTTTAGGTTGTAGTCTTTGCATTAGACTCTTTTAAACTGTATTCAAATCCTAAATGTAAGCATTTATACAACATATAAACCACTAGTAACAGTTATTGGTGGGTGATAATGTATTGAAACAGGCACCGTGTATCAATATTTTTTAAAACAAACATAAGTATTCTGGGAATACTATGGACAAGAGGGCTCATCTCATGCACCACCATCCTGAGGTAACTTTAGCTGAGGAAATTTACATTTAATTGGCTCAACCAAAAAAACAACCAACCAACCAGCTACCTCCTTTTTCAGAGCAAGCTAATGGCTCAGTCAGACGAGGGAAATGAGGACAGCAATGTCACTGCATTTACAGAAAATTGGTGGCTACATGGTGACTGAAATTTTGATCACATTCTGTGACCTATTGCAACTTGGGGGACTAAATGAGCTTGAGGATGTTGCACACTCTCCTAATCAGAGTTAGCCTTTCTGCAAACAGTTACAGTCTGATCTGGGCCGACTGCAATCAATCAGAGATTGTTGAAGGTTTGCAAATAATTGCTGTGTCATTTATAAATGCAGGTGTTGATATGATGTTGCCATCAGTCTGACTAGGACCGATGACAGACTAACGCCATCTTATTACAACGTTTTTTGCAGGTTCAAGTGATCCGATAAGATCCGTTTATCTTATCGGATGAAACAAAAGATTACAAAGTTTAACTTTGCGGACATAACTTGAAGCAGAAAAATTGGTTAAAAAATCGCAAAGTATATTCGCAATATATATTACTGCAATACTAAGCATATCACGCAAGAAAATCACAAAAAGAATTCACCAGATAGTAACAAACACGTTGAAAAACCTCAAATAAATACATTTTTTTCAAAATCAATAGTGCAATTTTTTGTTAACCCCAGGATGGAAAGAGAGCCACTACATCTGCTGACAAATACTTTTTACCGATTGCTGTAAGGAAATCACTATACTGTGCAAAACACAGTATTTTTTTATATTTTTCTTCCAAAAAGCCAGATTTTCTTGTCAGCGGTTATCCAGGCAGCTGAAGGTCTTTTAAAGTTTGTCTTTGGACACTGGCTGCTTTTTCACTCATTGTCAGTCTCGTTCTTGCACCTGACTATTTTTTAGATAATTGTTTGTTTGACAGGCATAATGTTTTTGCACCACCAGGGTGATTCCCAAAGATTAATCTGCCAAAAACGTGGCATGTCTTGTCATGGTGTACAATGTTTTGAAGAGACTGAACAAGCAGAGGACAAAAGAAGAAGTAGCCGGTCTAGAAAATGATTTACAGCAGATGAACATGATCTGAAAGTAATCTTCTACAGAAACAGGAAACAGTGCTACTGTGTTTTACAGATGGCTGTAGCTACTTACATCTCAGCTCCAAGCACTGTCAGAGTTTGATCCACCAAGCACTAACATCTGGCCAATTGTGTGATTTAAAATGCCCAAACAGACAACAACAGACTTTGTCTGCCGTCTTTGACACCACAGCACCATCTGCTGCCAAGAAGGTAAGTTCAGGCAGGAAACTGGAGGCAAAATGCCGCTTTACATCAGTTATTCACGGCGCATTTCATTTCTTTCAGTGGCTGCATGCGCAGTTTTTTCTCTTAATTCACCTTTTCGTTTACTGCTAGAAATCAACAAACAAACTCCTGTGTGTATGAAGAAACTTCCAAAGGGAACAATATTAACTACAAAAATCTTACATGAACTGCTCGTGTGTGTCCACTATTACTAGCCTCTGACACTTGCATTCAAAATGTTTACATTTACTTCAGGAGATGTTGGTCAAGTGGCTGTTTCTTCTTCCTCTTCTTCGTCTTTTTTCTTGAACAGAAATTAAATGTAAAGTGCTGGGAACTTGTATCTTCGCTATGCTTACAAAAATGTATATAAAAAAAAATCATATATAGATAATTTACAGAGCCTTTAAGCTAGTTTATATATGAAGCTAATAAGCGACCCTAGCACTTGCATAACATCCCGCGGCCACCAGAGGGCCTCCTATAGAGAGACGCGATGGGGTTGTGGGTGGATTCATGCTGACATAACGTTTAAAAAAAGATCTAAATAAGCTTAGTGGTTAATAGTATGGCAAATAAACTGCCTTATATTTAAATGTTATGCTAATCATGATTTATTAGGCATAACCAAAGTGCCTCTGAAGTAACGTTTTTTTTTTGCCCTTATTGTAACACTAATTATTATAAGTCAGTATTAATCATATGATTAATAGCTGCAGCAAATCAAGCATTCAACATTGATGTAATGAAATAATGGAACAATTGATATAATTTTATTTTTAATGACAAAAATAATCCAATTTCCTGTGACCTTAAACTGAGTATAAAAGAAAGAAATATGATCCATAATTTATTCGTCATGATAATTGACACACTTAAGTCAATTCATTAAGTCGTGTTCTGTTTGTCAGTAAGCATAGCTGCTGATATTTAAGGCACGATGCTGATCGATTTTTTTTATGTGCATGTGTTTTCAGTAAGGGAAGAAGCTGATGTGTAAAGGTTTATACCACCAGATGGAGCACTTTACATTCTGTTGGTGGAAGCAAGAGTTGTAACCGGTAAAACGAATTTCATTTTTGTGACCTAATAAAAATCATGAGTTTTATCACTGATGTTGGAAAATTAAAAAAAAAAAAAAAAATGAAGAAGACCAAACAAAACAAACAAAAAAAATGAATGATTAAAGGCATATTTAAGCACTGTAACAATTTTATATGTGCTTTCATTTTATGCTACTTTAACTCCATTAGATTTCAAGAAAGTTCCTTTCACTCAATTCCAAACCAGGATGTCTCATAAAAAGTTCCAACTTTGTCAAGTACAACGTTCAGATTTTGTTTGATAATCTAAGAGTAAATAAGGGTAACCCTGCAGCCTAATAAGAACATTGTTTGGAGGGACGGTTTTGGACTAAACCGTCCCTCCTAATGATTAAGAGGTTGGAGAATAATTCATTGCTTAAGTACTAGTATATATTCCTGTTAAAACATCATGTCAAGGACCTGAATTCAAAATTTCTACTGAATATACAAAAAAATATATATCAGCAAAACATAAAGTACACAAAGCCCTCAGCCTTCAGACACACTATTATTTTTATTATTATTTGATGGTCCAGTAATGGTTAGTCGTTAGTTAAACCATTCTGATACAATTGTATTCAATTCTTTAGGCCTTTGTTTGTTTGTTTTGTTTTGTTTATGGTTTACCTGGGAACCTCAAGTTTAATGTTTAATTGCTTGTTTTACTTAAAGGGACATCACATTTACTATATAACCCTAATCTGACAAGTACTGTAACAAGAGAGTTCAGCTGCATTAGCTTCATTGTAGTTGACAGGTTTATTCAAAGCTTATATATTTATCTGTGAGATAGGTCAGTGTAGGTTTAGCCTAGCTTAGCATGAAGACCGAAAGGAAAAAAAAAAACGTTAACAAAAATACGAAAAGTATTCTACTCAAATTACACTTCAATAATTTGATTTCTATATTCCATAAGAACTTTTTTAATCAATTATTAATGATAAAAGCTCAACATTTATCACTGCTATCAGCTAATTCTTTCACTATCATTTTTTCCTACATATAAGTCATGCTGAAGCTAAGCTACAGTTTGTTATGGAATTACAGAATAAATATCTACTTTTTGTAAAAGATATTTTTTGTAATTTAACCCACCGCTTAAATTGTGAGGAGGAATTTAGTCATTACGTTGCACCGCTGCTAATTGTTATTTTTGCTAAATTTAAAACACCTTCACCAGAACACCATCACAGAATACGAGCATGGTTGTGACCAGTCACAATGCAAATGAATACACAAACACACTTTATGAAGTACAGGGTTAATTTACTTGTACTTCACTTAAGTCGTTGTCTTATTTTAAAAAAAATTTTTTTTTTTTAAAGGTGCCAGCACCCATTTCGTTTCTGCTTCGACTCCTACGATAAGAAACCTTATTAAAACACTTACATGTCACGTTTTGGTTTTTATTATAAGACTATAAAAATATACAGAAATATAAACAAAGATTGACAACTTTGGAAAAAAGAATCTTTATTTGGAAACATTATGGAGAGCAAACAAAGAAAAAAAAAGATCTTTTAGAGTTTTTCCATTTCTGAAAATCATTTTTATTTACTATAATACAGCGGATGTTAAAAGTCAGTTGGTTTGTACACCGGTGTGATTGGATAAAGGCAGATCTTATTGGGAAAAAAAAGGTAAATTAAAAGAAGAGTCGATTGATTGATGGAAAACTACAGACGAACTTAGTCTTATATCATCTAGCAGCTGAACCCCACCCTCCCTCAGCCCTGCCCCCCAGGAAAAACACTCACACTCTCTCCCAGCCTCACTTATTCACTTGCTTCAATGTGCCCTTCAAAATCCTCCTCTGTCCAAAATCATAAAATCTGTAAAGTAAGGGTTTGGCTTCCGCTCTGAATATTTTCTTCCTTTAGCACAGCTTTGACCTCATCGCTCACATCTCAGAAGAAAATATTTGCCCCATTATAGATGCAGGTCTCCTTCAAAGTGCCCTCTCAATCAGACCTGTGATGTGAGGTTAGACAGGTGTTTGGCTGCATTCCTTTCCCCTCAGTAAAACTTGTTTTATCTCAAGGTCATATGCGAAACCAATCATCTAAGTTGGTTCTGTTAATTGCATAATTGTCCACAATTAAAAACATGACATTTTTAATGTCTAACAGACCAGTTTTTTGAGCACCGACTGAAAAATAACAAGACTTGCTTTACAAAGCAGTGAGCCATTATGAGGTCTGAAAAGAGTGCAACGAGGACACAGAAGGAGACAGGCGTCCAAAACAGGACAAAACTACATTATATCACTGATTCGTCTCTCAATGCTGACATTCACTGAGGGATAATGCTTGGCTGGAGAAGGCAGCAGAAAGTGCAGAGAGGAAGTTCATAAAAGTGGGTTAAATTATAAATGAAAGTACTTTTTAAAAGGTTCTTCAAAAAGGGGAAAAAAAGAGAAAAAGTTTATTAAAAGTGAATTAAAAATGATGAGGAGCACAGCAGCTGCACGCGAGCTGGACATTTTAGTGGAAGTCTCAGGTTCACCACAGTAAAACCCTTTAAAAATAGACATTTTCAGTTCAGTACCTACACCGACATTCACTCTGTGTCTGCTCGTAAAGCTCACTGACAGTTTTTGGCTGCTGCTTTTAAACCGAGGTTATTTCTGCTGCCTAAAATGTGTTTCTGTCCATCTGAATCCACGTGCTGCACCATTAGCAGGAAGTTTAACCTGCCTTGTATCTGTCACCCTCACAGACAGCGACCACAAATAACACATCTGGCTAGCTTTTTAAACACACTCAAAACAAATATTTACATATTATTTTGTATAAATACATAAACTAATTGAGAGTACCATTAATATAGACTTTATAATTACAGACTACAGAAGCATTTTAGGGGCTGATTTAGGACACGACCTGGAAAGATGTTGTTTTTGGTGCCAATTAAATTTCCAAATAAACCAAATTAATATTCACTTACTGTTTATAAGACACAACTATATTCTATAAAAATTGAAATGACCTGCACACATATATTTCTGACTTTGCTGGCATGTGCAGATTAAAAGTGTGGCTATTTTCTTTATTGTTTCTTAACACATCAACAGTAATGGATGCATTCAGATTTAGTCCCCCCGACTACAAAAATAGTTATTTATTAAATACTGTAACTATTATGTAGTACGTAGCATTATTTTATTGGCATATTTTAATTACAAAAAGTGCAATATATACCTTTAAAATGTAATTGTTCGCTTCATGAGAATTTTATTCCAAATTGTTACCAACTTGTACGTTTCAGCTCATGGAAAAGCTTAAAAATGATTATTACACAGCAGACAGGAGAACCTGGAGCCAGATGGACAGAAGACCAGAAATAAGGAGTTAGATATCCTCTACGGGGCTTTATGTTCAGCACGAGAGGCTTCATTTATGTGCCTCCGTCTCCCTCAGTGTGCCGCAGACGAAGAAAGCAATGAGATTTATATGTGTGTGTGTGGGACACAGCAAAAAGAAGAGCAAAAAAAAAAACATCTGATAAAAAACACACCCACACCCCGTGTAAACACACACGCTCACTCTCTCATTCACACTCACACACCACCCAAACCACAAAGAAATATGATTATAGCTTCTGACAGATTATAGTCCAGTACCCCGTGGTAGTTCACTAAATCAGCAACTTCTGCTGCTGATATTTTTTTATATATTTATATATACTTATATATACTTCTTTCCTCTATTTAGGGAAAACTATATAACCAAAAATATGATATTAAGTGTTGATTTCTTGCACGGCGGAAAAAGAACAAATGCAAAAAAAACCCGAAAATGTTTTCTGAAACGTTCCCGTTAACCCAAAGAGATTCAGATAAAACAATGCAAATCTGAACAGGAGCTCATTTAGTTTCATTTCTTTCTTTTTTTTAACGTTAAAGCTCTTTTTTTTTCACTAAGTGGCAAAAACAGAGACATGCAAACTTTTGATTTCAACAAACCAACAGAAACGGGAGAATGAAAAAAAAATGGAAATGAAAAGATGTAAAGCATCCTCTAGGAAGTAAGCCCAACATGGAAGACGCCTCCTTGAACCAAACAGGTCCAGAATGCATCGCAACGTAGTGGTTTCCTTATTCATGTGCCATCGTCGAGGGGTTGCCGTCCCTTCCGATTGAGAGGCGGTGCATTAACAGTTCGAGGCTCTATGGAGACACTCAGGAACAGTTAGTGTGACGACTCGCTCACATGGAGCATCACAAATCCAAAAGTCCACATTCTCCGTTCCTTTTTCCCTTCTGAATCCCCTCCTTCCCCATGATGGGAAGGTACAAAGTGGCTGCGATACAAACCACAGGTCAGTTCACACAGATACACCATCACACACATCATCAGCATCATCACACACAAACACACAAGCTGGGTCGATATCTGACGTTACAAAAAATATTTTTGTTTTTAAAAAAATGAAAAGAATGGAAAGAAAAAAAAGAGCTAAGCAAACAGACATGAAATTGGCATGTGGACTTTTGACACAAATCGTGCATGTGCTGTCCTTGACGAGGGTCAAAGTTCATGTAGCGGGAAGGGGGTTCTTTGTTTTTTTTCTTTCTTTTTTTTGTCATTTAGGATTTAAAAGTGAGAGCGCACCCATCTCCCACCTCACCGAAACTGAAAAGCTCTTCTACAAGGCTTTGACTTCATCTCGCGCCCATGAGTGTGTTTGACCTTTAGTGTCTTGTTGATCCCTCCTTCCTTCTTATGAACAAAGGTCAAACAAAAGAAGAAGAAATGTTTTCCTGTGCTGAAACCTGCAGGAAGACTGAAATCCTCACAGTCAGCATGTGTGTTAGTCAGGTAGCCGGTCAAGTCAGCTAATGAGTCCGCCAATCAGTCCGTATCAGATAATTTCACATTTGAGTTGCAGTCGCAGGGATTCAACTTCCCTTTTCTCTTATCTCGGAGCGGGGATGAGGAGGGCGGTGCTTAATAGGGACTTCTGGCCCCCAATGTGCTATTCCGTCTGGGTTAAAGGTAGGAGTGTGTCCTGGGATCCCAAGAGTCTGTGTCTGACCCTGTGGAACGATTAGTGTTGTCACTATGTGCCAAATCAAAGCGGTTCATTCGCGGTTTTCAGCTTCTGTATCATGAAGGGGGGGCAGTCAGATACAAAAATTAGTTCCAAAAGGTGACGTGCGATTGTAATTCTCTAATCCAGGATTTTCCTCACAGGATGAGCAGGTCTCACAGATTAGGTTTGATCCAACAAATGGTCGATACGCCTCTAAACCCCCAAAGCTCATTCACCTCCAAGTCGATGACAAACAGCAGCTGATGAATCCCCCGAAAATCAGCAACCAGGTTGTTTTATTTTCCATTTTTATGAGCCCGCCAGCTATTTGTAGAGCAGAGGATGACCTGCAATTGTCGGCCGTAAGCGGCTGGCAGCGCGGGCAAACAACCACCCTCCACTTCACTTCCCAGCATGCTCCTCTGGATCTTATATGAGCGGGTCAGGGGGCAGGGTGTGCTGGATCTGCTGTGGCTGCAGGGGGGGCGGCAGCTGCAGCGGCAGCAGGGCCTCCACCATGTTGTGGCAGTGCGGGGGCGGTGTCCCTTCGCTGCTGGAGCTCTCGGCCACCTCGCCGCCGTGGAAGAAGTAGTCGCTCTGTACAATGAAGGACTCGATGACGGCCTGGTTCAGCTTGGTGGTCGACAGCGTGTCCTTGTTCTCGAAGTCGGGCCGCATGAGCGTGGGCCAGAAGCAGATGGACAGATTGTCGGCTGTCATCAGGGTTGTTTTGCTATGCTGGCTCACTCTGCGGGGAAATAAAAAGGTTCAAAGTTAAATCAACACTGGAAACAACAGCTCCAGAAAACAGGTGGTCTAAGGTGACAGCACGTAAGGAAATGAAAAATACCTTGACTTTTTATTTATTCTTTAACTGCTAAAAACATAAGAAAGCAGATAAAGGTTTGTCAGTTAAAGTGGACTCGTGATGTTCATTTCAGGCTCCATATTTTTATTCGTGGACTCTGGAGTGGCTTAGCATGATTCACAGTTCAAAATAATCCTTATTAATTAAATAGCCAACTTCCTTCCGACTGACTGCTGCTCATAAACAGAAAGGTTAAACAATAAGTGGGTGGAGCTTGTTTGAAACAGCATATAGATGACAGGAAAGAAGGAAAAGCAGAACAGTTTGTCTTAAAGTTGTCATACTCTGCTTGGTTACTGTGTGCAAACGAACCAAAAACCATGCATTGGGATTTTAGCACTCCATGATATTAACACATACCTCGCTATATTCTCTATAAAGTGGGAACAATGTGGGACTCTTATATCACATTTAAATGTATTCAGTTACTTAGTGAGGAGCTATTGCAATATTCAGTAAATTTAGTAAGACCGTTCTAACATGATTTATGCCGTTTCACTGCTTTTCACTCATTTAGGGGATAGTCTGGTTCCTTTGAAGTGGGGTTACATGAGGTACACGCTCACTGTCAGTGTGCTATCTTCAGCAAATGGCAGCAGGCGTGCGCCCAAGCTGACAGGAGCCCCGAATGGCACAGGAGCAGAGAAATGTACAGCTGTGAACAGAATCGAATGCAAAAACCCACTTTTCTGAGGGACTGTTTTTGTCAGTGGAGCTCGGTGCTTATTAAGAGAACGACTTCTTTCTTAGTGTGTTTCAAACTTTGACAGCTGCTGTTCCATTAAGCTGAAGTGTTCCTTTAAACTTCAAGATATTATTTGCTGGTTTACTAGTGCTGTGCAGCGAACGGTGCTGGAGACATGGATAAAAGCCACATTCTGTGATGGAGTGACGACATCGATCAGCATGAGGAATGTCTGCACTTATCGATGCATTCCTAGTTTAATGTCTTATTTGCAGCTTTTGCTTCATGTTGTGTGAATTTCATGTTCTTTATTTTCTCTTTTTTAAATTTTCAACCATCTGTGTCGCAGAAACTGTCAATTCATCACAACTTGTGTCCTCCCCGACTTAATTTTTGGGATTTGCATGCCGTTGCCCAACTTCAGAGTGACTTCCTTTTAGCACCTGGTAGAAAAACCGTCCCTGTTGAAGCTGCTCTGCAGTCTGTGTCTGTTCACCATCACCCTGTGTTGCAGCTACAGGCTGTAATAGTCTCTCATCTCATGTCTCGCTTAATGTTAGGTCACCTTGTCCGCCTCGTATATTAGTCATGGGTGTTGTTTAGAATTTCATTTCATGTCGGACATTTTCCCTCTTTACTTATCTCACAGGATAACACTGCTGTTTAATTCAAATGTGTTCAGGTCCTCTCATATGACTCTCACCCTTTGAAACTTGTGTTTTGGCTTCTATTTTTTTTTAAGTCTTGCCCACAAATACCAAACCATAAAGAAGCTCCAAAAATACAAAAATCCTCTTGCATGACGACCAATGAACCTCAAAGCTCTGAGAGAAATGTTGCTGCTGTCTCTACATTAACAGGGCTGCTTGCTCTATCAGTGAAAGCTAACAAATTAAGTAATGATCACTGGATGTCAACTAAACTAACACAGAACCAGAGAAGAAGACAAACATTTCACTCCTGTGTTTTATCCATTAACTGTAGCGCTGCCGTTCACTAGATGTCATCTCCGACCATGTCCTGTCAGTCATGATCGATATTTGGCACAAAATCAGACTTTGCCCGATGTTTCAGAGTGATTTATACTCATTCTGTATCTGCAAACTATGTAGACATTTGCGAAGAAATAATTAGCATTCAGTCGCTGCAGCAGTTACAAAGTACAGCTGTGGTCTCAACTCAAAGGAAGTTAAAATGATATCTGCAAGCGGCTCTTTTCAAGTTTAAGCGATGCGTTCACTGTCACCACAGGTATACGGCCATTTTGACTTTGAAGCTTGCAAGCATTTCACTTAAAAAAAACATGGATAAAGAAACACACAAGAGGGAATGTATTCTGTGCATGCGTGTGTGTGTGTGTGTGTGTGTGTGTGTTGCCTTTCATTTTTACCTGTTTAGGTGTGTGATGATGTATTTGAAGACCTGGTAGTTGACGGGAGGAAACTTTTTCACAATCTCCCGCAGTGCCTGCAGACGCTCCATGTAGTCCATGATTTCTAACACACACACACACACACACACACACAGGGAGAAAAGACACAGAGCGTTTTACATTTTACACACAGTCTCTCTTGGGAAAGGAAATTATACTCCATGGAAAACAAAAGGCTGAAACGCTGCCAAAAGCAGCTCCCACGCTGTGCACAAACAATACACACGCAACCACACACACAACAACACTAAACCTTGTGGGCAGAAATAAAACTAGCCTTCCCTGTATAAGGTCTGACTGTGCACTGGTTAAGACAAAACAGATCAGCCTTTGCAGATTAGGAAAACAAACATTTGTTCTCAACTGTTCAGATTTCAGGGGAGACAAAAAAAGAAACACAGCATCTGATTAAAGACCCAGTAATCATAACTGAGGCACAGAGCTGGGCAGAAACACACTGGGCAGCAGCAGTTTCCCTCCCATGTGTTCAATAATTCTTCACTGTCACCTGCTTGAACTATTATTTGTTGCAAGATGTTATGTCTCATTACCCAGACAGGTTTGATGACTAACCACAGAAGCTTATCATCAGATGCAGCAGGGACCACACAGTTATTTATTAGATCAATGTGCAATTTAAGCGATTTCAAACCACAGCCTCCTTTTTGAAGGAATTTCTTGAACTTTCCACAGTATTGATCAATTCCTTCTTCTGATTCCGCCTCATTTTTTGACTTTCAGACTTCAGCAAAGTTGAAAAGATCAGTCACAGTAGACTGATTAGCTGCACAAGCATCTACGGATTCATTTGCTATTAGGAAATCAAATATCAGCAATTTGTCTGATACCTGATAAGTTCACACCACAGAGCTGCCAAACTGATTCGTCTGCAAAGACATGTCATTAACAATGGCAATTCAAAGAAACAGAGACAAATTATTATTGCTATTATATAACCAAGTATAAGACCAATCAGTTGAGAACGTATGACAGTTTAGAGACTGATAAGACTGCGAGGGCTGTGCTGTATGAAGCCTGAGGGGTGTATGTTAGTGAGGCTGTAAGGCTTCCCCTGGATCACAACATGTCTTTGGAGTACGACTGTACTCATCATCAGGCATCATTACCGTAAAGTGTAAGGCAATAAGCTTATCTTCTGTTTTTCTGACAATGTGTCAGACAAAAGTGTGCATTATTATTATTGAGTAAATTAAACTGCAATTAAAGGGACTTGTGAAAAAATGTTTCATTAGGACGATGGTGATTTTCTAAAAACTCTTTGATAGGATGCCAAAGAGGAAGAACCTGAGAACTCTGGATACAAATGAACTTCCCTTTCTGCACAGCAGGAGGAAATGTTGATAAATCATTTGGGTAGACGGGAGGAAGAGAAAAGGGGATGACGTATAGCACAGGTCCTCAGCTGGAACACACAACTACGCAGAACATCTGTATGCCTTAAACATTAGGCTTCAGGATGCCCCGCTTCTTTGCCCTTTCCCACAAAATTCCTAAGTGGAAAGACACAGTGTGTTTGTTCGCCACATGATGCATATCGTTGGATTCTTGACTGCGTCGTTAAAAGAGAACAGTCTGGGAAAGTGTGACTTTAAAAACAAAAAAAAGTAATCAGATTTAGCATCAGACTCTTATTTGGTTTAGTTAAATGTTAAATTTGATCGGGGAAAAAACAAAAAACAAAACATTACCAAGTAACAAGAAAGATCCTGCTATATTCCTAGAAGGTAATTTGTCTGTTAAATTCTTCAGTATTCCACAGCCTCTCCAGGGAATGCATCACTTTCCTGCCGGCGAATGCTCAATGGAGCTGAAACGCTCCACTTACTTATTAAATATTTAAAGAGCAGATGTGAAATAAGAGCTTCTACCTTTGGATTGTCATAACAAGGCCGCTTCAACAAAACCCCTGCCTGTCCTATCTGGAATATTCTCCAGGATATTCCAGACATTCCAGGACCAGCAGGACGCCATTTATATTTCTAGACACAAACGTAAAGGCCAACGTGTACCAATGCACAGATTTATTCATCCTGCACGCCATCAATCATCCTAACGAGGAGCCAACGGGAGCCTTTGACCCTCTAATGGCTGGAAGAGGTTAAAGGTCGTTAAATGAATGCAGTCACAGCTCGACACAGTACACCACGGGACCGATATAACGACCGACTCCAGCTTTTATTAAATATATATCAGCCTGACAGCATCTCACAATGTATTTGGTTCAATAAGGCGATAAAGCTCAGTGTGCACATGTGTTTAGGCGAAGCTTTGATGATCCCCATCGGGAAAAGACCCTGCTGCTGCTACAGGAAGCTATTGTCGTTGTTATTGTTGTCACGGAATGAAAATAAATAAAAGGATTATTAAAAGTATGCTGAACAGAAAAGGCAGAAAGCCAAAATCAACTTTAGAACTGACTAGAAAAACTAACACAGTTTCCATTACATGAGAAATTAGTGCAGCAGTTTGAAGCTGATCCAGGCAAAACTGCAAAGGCTAAGTGCTTATTTACAGGTATATGTATTGTATGCCATTGTTTACGTTCACAGTCTCTTTTTTCCTTCTCTGATTACAATGTTTGGAACTTTTCCATGTGTCTTGATTCACTCTGTTATCACATCTATTCAACATGACCTGAAACCAGCAACAACAAAAGCCTGATTCAGGCTCCAGGATAAGTACACTGGTGTCAAACCTGCTCGACAAGTTGGTTACCCTCCTGATGGAAACGTACTGTCGTGTTGAACTGCTCCAAGTTTAAAGAAACAGACAGGAAAGAGGCACCTCAAACTAGACCTTAGTCACGTAAGGAGCAAAAAGATAGAAAGAGAAAGTCAGAGAAGAAGAGCTGATTTAAACGATTCCTTTACCAACTATCAGTTATTTTCCTGGTCATTAATTTGTATATAAAGCCCTGGTTCCTGCTCTATACGAGTCATTTTCTAGAGAAGAAAAACCAGCACCACCCTCCAGATTTCTTCTTCTGTCAGTCTGAGACTTTTTACAGTTCTCCTTGTGTTTAATTTTGGCTCGTTAATCTGCTGGAGTCAGCCTGATGGTTTCAGCATTATAGACACACAAGCAACACACACACACATACGCAGGATGTCTGACAGCATCCTAGGCCTGAAAAAGCCTCTTAAAAGTGAATGATGTGACTCAAAGCTCTGAGCATGTGGAAACACAACTAAACTTCTGCAGCATTAAGGCCAGCTGCTACAGCAGACAAGAGGTTAAAAGTAGAGCCTGACTGATTGGACTGAGGACTGTTAAGGCCGATACTGATATTTGGCAATTTAATTCTGCAGGCCTCTGGTGGGAAAACTGTGCAACATCAACACTCATTACATGGTTAAAGGGTGTTTCTCCAGTCTCCTCTTAACTTCTTCATTTTTTAACTGCATGCATGTGCCTTTATCGGGGTACGACTTTATGTTATTCTCAATAGCACAATAACTCTGAAGCAATGCTGATCAAACTTTTTAGGGGTGTAGGTAGAGTGCTTGTTGTTTTACATTTGAGTTGTAAGCGGGTAAAGGAATATTCCAGCATGCTGCCGCCCAGTGAACCTAACCCTCCATTCACTGTTTTGACTCTGTTTAACATAATTACATCATTTCCTACGTGTTTAACAATTCCTTTAACTTAAAAGTTGCACCAAGTTTTTAATGTGTCTGTCTGGGTGTTTTTGCTATCAGGAAAATTGCAGTTCATGACTCGGGTGCGTGTTCATTCTTACTTGCGGCCTCCACCAGCTCTGGGTGCAGGCTGTAGGGGATCAGCGGATCGGGCAGGTCAGCAAAGAAAGCCTTCAGCGCTCCAGCAACGGCATTCACCGCCACATCCATCGCCACAAAGTCAATACTGTGATCTACAGGGAGAGGGAGGGAGAGAGAGAAAAGAGGCTCAACAGCAGATTCGCAAGGTCACTCTGTTTCTGAAGCTTGTTCTGTAGCATTCGTTTCATCCTCTGCATCACAAACAGGAAAACAGCAAAACAACTCCACCCACACGCAGCTTCTGGTTAATACGTTCAAACTCACTGTCCTCTAAAGTCTCCCTTTAGGACCTCACAAACAGTTAAAGCACTCTCCTTAAACCCTTTGTCACTGTGCTCAGCACATTTGTTCTTTTCCTTGCTGTTGTAGCATCAAATTACATTTTTCTGCACAGAAAACTTCCAACACAGTTCTCCAGCCCTGTTCTTAGAAAGTATAAATCACATCCTTCCCATTTGATCTTTTCTACACAATAAAGGGAAACAGCAAAGCACCCCCATATACAATGCAATGTCATTTAAACATGCATGTCTGAATATCTTATTATAATATTCTGATCTAGTTCCCTCGAGTGTAATGTCATTCAAATTTATTCACGTGTGGCATAACTTGTTGTTTTTCTGGAAGGGAAACTGTTCATGATTACGAGCAAAAACAACAACAGTATCTGGCATCACTGGAGTAAAAATCCATTATAACCTATTAGAATATTGTAATTTAAAAAGTGGTAGAGGGACTGCATGGTAGCGTCTGTATGGAATGTATAGTAGCGACCGACTGATTGCTGAGGTAAGACTGTGGTTAGATCACCTGTATTTATCACCCTGTCATTTGTCAGTCAATGTCATTACTTTATTTTTTTAAGTGGAACTGGTTGTTGATTCAATCGCCTGAGATTAGTTGACCTTAGTACTAGGGCTGCACGATTTTGCATAAAATGAGAATCACGATTTTTTGGCTTAGAATTGAGATCACGATTCTCTCACGATTTTCTTTTCCAGTATAAATATTTATTGCACTTATTAACTGCACATCGACTTCGTAACAGTTGAGACTGAACATAAAAACAATAAATAAACATAAAAACAACAAATGTCTCACGTTTTGTTGTTGCCGCAAAATGTTGTACTGCTTGAAATTCCGTCTCCACCGTTGCTCGATGCTGCGTGTATAGAGCACGTAGTGCAACAATAGAAAAATAGTTGCGGGACGGCACTGTGTAGCGTTTGTCTAGGGTGTTGATCATTTTCCTAAATCCCTCGTTTTGCACAGTGTTGATGGGAGCCATATCTTTGGTCAGGTGATAAGTGATAGCCTCCGTAATTTCTTTGTGCCTGCGGGAGGTCGACGGGTGTAGGGAAGCGCTGTATAAGGTTCCCGTTATTGGTGTTTGGGTGGTTGACCGGGACGGATTTTCTCCTGTCACTTTCTCGTCATCCCTGACGTGCTCTCCGTTGTTTTTTCCCCTGCTAATGTTAGCATCACACGGCACAGCTTCTGTATCACATGGTATAAGGCTCCGTCGTTTGTTGAGCAGGAAGAGTGAGCGCTTGTTTTCATGCAGATTACATCTCGGATCAAAATGCCGGGACATCGTCGTCTTTTTTTTCTTAAATCGTTGTCATTTGGAAATGAGATCGCACATAAGTATGAATCGAGATCGCGATTTTCTAACGATTAATCGTGCAGCCCTACTTAGTACCCATCTGCCAGACGTTGCTAATGGATACTTCACCTGTCATCATTGCAAGCTGCTCAAGATCAATCCCACAGTCTCGGGTCAGCACAACATTACCAGTGTACATATATGAACCTGAAAAGGTGTATTGGTGTTTTTGCTTTAACAAAAGACTATTCGTGCAATAACATTTTAGTAAGTCACTTCAAATACAAATTATATGTAGCATACTTCTGCACTGCAAAGCATGAAAATAAATATGTAACATGTTATGTGACAAATGGGTAGAAGACATTGAGAGGCATTTATTTGAGTATTTCAGAGGAGCTGGCTATGGTTCATGTTTCGGCGTCTGTTAAAGAACGCTAAAAAACTAAATGTGCTAGCAGCTTGTTATTAGTTAACCAAAGTATCCTTCCTTTGAACACTCAGCTTTTAAGCTCAGCGCTTAGCAATGACACAAACTCGATACGAACTGCTTTTCTGGACTAGATGACCATCGTTTGAAATGGAGGGAGGTCATCTGGGCATCTATGGCTACATATTCAATGGTTAGGGGGAACAGATGGCAAAATTACATCCCAGAGACACTTGCAGCCACACAGATGTATAAGCCTGTTATATGCATGTTAAGCCTGAGTGTGGAGCAGATTTGTGGATCCGGGACCAATAACCTGCACTCGTGTCCTCACATACGAGTCAAACAGGATTTAGCTGGGTCAATGTTTCAGTTTGAAAGGATATTAAAGAGCCTGTCAGTTGTGGTGATGCAGCAGTGAGGCCCACAGCTCAGTTTTTGTGTCTGAGCAGGAGAACAGAGCTCCTCTCTGATCACAGCTAACAGAGGTTATCATGAGTGTGTCTGGAGGCACAGAGGGCCGAGTGTTTCTCTGATGGAGCAGCGGGACTGGAACAGAATACACAGCCAGCTCATGAAAGCTTTTTCTTGCTCTATTATTTCTGATGAGGGAGAATGGATGCTTCAGCTCCATCACGTTTTACTTTCTGTTTCATTCACAAATCAGAGGAGAAAAAAAAAAGTGGGTTGGGTCCAAATCGATCAGCTTTCTCATTAAGCCAGGGTAAAAATACTCTGTAATGACAGTTCAAAGGAATATGTGGAGAAAGAAAAATGCGTATTACTTGCTGTTATGACACTCGGCAACAGCCAAATGACATTTGGAGGGAGGAGAAACGGTGAGAAAGAGGACAGAGCCCTAAGGTAACACGACAGCTGTCACAGTGAATCTGAACGCATGCTGACAAACACGCTGAGCTAGAAACACTTGAAGGAAATGGAGAGCATTGAGCAACGGAGGGATATAAACAACAGGAAATGCACAAATGAATTTAGGAAGGACAGGGTGGGAAAGGAGGAGTCGAGTGAAGGAGGTGAGGAAAGGAAGGAATTTCAAAACAAAAAAATGGTGGCAGCCACCAAAGCCTCAGCCTCAGATACACATCATCTTTCATATTAAAAAATGTTTTTTAATATGAAATAATCATAGAATAACCAAGAATATGCTCGAGCTCTTCTCCTGAACAGAGGACCAGAAGAAACAGAACGCAGAAAGAAAAACAAGAAATGCAGAAATGATTCAATAATCATTGCACGCTTCATCTCAGTCAAGTCTCCATATTTCAGCACCTGGCTGTAAAATGCCTGACGCTGCTGACCATGTGCTGGTGATTTCTGCCTGTGGTGACTTTATTTATACTAACAGCCCGTTTGGCAGCGCCCCAACCCTCATGAGCAGTTTCGACTGCATGCGTTTCTCTTTAAGCACTTCTGCAGCGTGGTCAGGTTTGGAATCGGTCTTTTGGAGTTTTCTCTGTGGGTTAAATACATTGCACACATCACACATGCGCTGCTTGATTCTGGAAATGTTTTCCAAAGAACTCCCAGGTTCTTATAACGGCACGATTTAAGTTTATGGGAAAATAATTTCGAAACACATTCTGTGAAACTAATAAAGACTGTTTGCCTCCATGCTTTGAAAATCCAGCTATGCACGCTCTTTCTTCCGATTTCTTAATAGTTAAATATGTATTCATAGGTCTATTACTACTACTACAAGCATGTGTCTGAGCAGATGAGTGTTTTACCTTGATCAAACTGTTTCTGAATGTTGTCCTGGTCTGTCTTGTTCCCACTGACGCGATACAGGCCCTCTGTCGTCAGACCTGGAAACACATACAGCCATTTTCAGCAACAGCTCTAATGGACTTCATTCATGTGGACTTAAAGCAGCATTAAACACACAAAAAAAAACTGTTAAAGTGCTGAGCTGAAACAGATGGGCCAACAGAAGCACCGTTTCATCTAATGTGGTTTTCCACATTAAAACATACTGAGAGTATTTGGATTTAAAGCTAAAAAACTATGTCCTCTTTCTAGGATTTCAAAGCCTCTAATAATATTCACATTAGACATGTTACATTTAACTAGAACTTTTCTTTTATTTCTTTTTTAAATACTTGTAAATGCTTGTTGTGACACTGGTTATGATGCAATTAAGCCACAAGCTGCAGCAGAAAGAAAAACAAAACTTCCTAGAAAACATTTACACATTTTTTAAACATATAATTCATTTGCTCTGAACAAACGGGAGAACAGCACTACAGAAACAACCAGAGACATATATTCCATCACAATCTCCTGAAACCAGAGGCAGCAAATATTATACAGCTGTACTTAATCCACAAAAGGTAGATCAATAGAGAAAAGAGAGAAAACGGAAAGAAACTTTAGTTGGAGTGCATTTTGTTAAAGGAGGCATTTACACCTTTCTCCATTTCTTGTCAAACATACACTCACCAGTCATTAGTTACACCCTGCTAGTATTTTCCTTTACAGCCAGCATACATTCAACAGCGTGCTGGAACATTTCACAGAGATTGTGGTCTGTGTTGACATGATAGCATCACATAGTCGCTGCAGATCTTAACATCTGAATGATTCATCAAACCAGGCGAGGTTTTCTGATCCTCTGTTGTCCAATTTTGATGAGGCTGTGATAACTGTAGCCAAGATTTCCTGTTCTTGTAGGACCAGGTGTGGTCGTCTGCTCCTGTAGTCTATCTGCTTCAAGGTTTGATAACCTGATTGTAACAAGTGGATATTTGAGTTACTGTTACCTTCCTATCAGCTCGAAGCAGTTTGACTACTCTCCTCTGACACCAAAAGGGCATATTTGAACACACTCCCTGAATATTTCTCTTTTTCTCTGTAAACTAGAGATGGCTGTGTGGAGAATTCCCAGTAGACCAGTAGTTTACCAAATAATCGTACCAGTTTGTCTGGCACCAACAACCATGCCATGCTCGACGTAAATTAAATCAGCTTTCTTCCTCAATCCATGTGTGACTGCATAAAACTGCTGCTGCAATGCAATGTAATTAGATATTTGCAAAACTATGAAATGCATGTGTTGTAGATTGGCTATAATCTAATCTTTTATAAACCACCATCTCCCTCTGGATGCAGTTAATAAGGTGTGACAATAGTTTAATATTACTAGTTTCTTTTTTTCCTTTTTCTTTTAAACATACCTTTATGAGTGGGACACAGACAGAGGAGGATGAAAGTGGTAGGTTAAGCATCTCTCTTACTAGCTAAATGCCAGCTCAACATGACACACACAGCGAGATTTAGTCAAAAATATGACGAGTTTTGGGCCACCCACACTATGTTATTCATTATTAAGCATCAAAAAATATACATCACATATACTGCAAGTATATGTATGAGTGCAAGTATAAATTATGACCTTTAGTCTTCAGAAATGACAAATTCAACAGTGTGAGACCAATTTGAGACGAATAACATCACAGAAAATCGCAGTGCAACATGAGCACCAGTCATCCAAAGCAGCAACAGCTAGATCAACAATTTTGCTTGCAGACTTCAGCTGGTCTGAGAGCAGCTTTAGTTAAAACCTCGGACCATAAATATCACAGCCAGCTGGCACCTGACAGCTGATCCCAGACCAGCACATACGGAGACAGAGTGTCTTAATTAGAGCAATAATGTGTGTTCTGCCTGCAGGGAAGAACACACACACAGGCACACACACACACAGGCATGTATACTGCAGTGTGGATGACCTTGCAGCAGCCACTACACAAAAACTACTGTCGTGTGTGTGTGTGTGTGTGTGTGTGTGTGTGTGTGTGTGTGTGTGTGTGTGTGTGTGTGTGTGTGTGTGTGTGTCCCTGCAGAGGCAGTTAAGCAGAGACAGTATTATGTAAATTCAGCTTTAATGGATTCAAGTAAATCGTGTCAACTGTGAGCAAGTGTGAATGTGCATGTGTGTGTCCGCTTGTGCGCCCGCTTGTGCGCATGCATTGATCTGCACCTTTCAGCGTTTTTGTTAAAAATGTATGCATGCTTGTGTTGACTCAGGTGTGTGACATGTGGTAACTCTTAAATTAATAACACAAATTGTAGTGATTGTGCCAAATCACCACAGCCTAATCAGCAACCCACTCGACCTAATTTGTGCATGCGAGTGTATACGTGTGTGTGTCTGTGTGTTCACACACACAGCGTGATGTATAAGCTCAGTAAACAGAGTGGGTGGAAAAGCTCAAATATGTTCTGCTGCTGCACCTTCAATGTGCTCCAATTACTATATTTGTGAGGACTCACTTGGACCTCCACATTACAACTCAAAGCTTCGACCTTCAGCCTGATGACACACTGTTGTGAAATAAATTACACGGTAGAGCAACGCCTCGTCCGAATGTTTCCCTGAGTCACAGCCATATAACTCCTCTGCAGACGCTGGGTGTTCCTGATCTGCTTCTCTGCACTTAACGCACATTAACTTGGCAGCGACACATCAGACTTTCATGTTTCACAGAAAACTGAACATTGAAACACTGAACAAAAAGCACAAAACTGGAAAGACGACGGTTTCTGAAGTGGAATTTTAATGGTTCAGAACATGAAATGAGCTAAAAAGGTCTCAAAAGTTCTATGTGCACTATTTACCAAAGCCATTCATGTCAATGAGGTTTTAGTCAAGGTTGACAGGGTCGCAACTTTACATGTTTTTGCTTTACTCTTGGATATGGAAGCATAAGTTTTGGATTATACTTCTTAAGTTCTGCAATCCAAAAATTAATCATGAATAGCAAATTAGCATCAGCAGTGTTAGCATTTACCATTACCGACGTCTCTTATTGACAGCATGAAGCATTTCTACTCTGGATGTGTTCTTTCTTGGAAAACAACACCTGCACATCACCACTGAGGATTTTAAATCCAACAATCAAGATGTGATTGAAGTACAGACTTTCAGTTTTAATTCAAGGAGGAGTTTACTAAACAAATTGGTCATAACAGCAACTTTTAGACACAGTCCCACATTTAATCGGACTCACAATTAATCAGACAAACAGTTTGATAGCCAGGTGTGCCTGTTCCCTTGTTATTTCATGAGAAATGAAGCAGATATAATATCTTAAGTTGATTCAAACTGCTGAATTTTGAGATGTCAGAACGGCATAATTAAGCTGAATGCACTGAGCAGCTCGGCTATTCTTTGACAAAAACGCTCTTTTCTCATTTTTAAGCTGGTTTTTTTTTGTTGCTGTTGATGTTTTGTTCTTTTTTTAATGAATGAGAAACAATCAGCTGATGATTAAAAATAAATGAATGAATATACAATAAAACATTTGGGGGGTACTTTGTGTATGAAAGCAGAAATCCTCTCCTTTCTTTTGATCTATTCACTGTGTTCATATTCATAACACCAAATATTTTAGGGGTCTTAAAGATTAGTAAATATCATTAAAAAGCCTGGCAATTTGTCCAGTGGTGAAAGTGTTTGCCAATATTTTGCTGTATACATTTTCCACACTAGTTTTGATCTTTATATGTAATGGCTCCAAAGTGTAGCTGGAGACACAGATCCTCTTTGGGTTTGTGTCAGAAAGGCCATCCGTAACAACGTAAAACTGCCAAATCGATCCATGTAGAACATAGTGATGGGCTTTGTAACTTTTAGGACAGTAATTTGAAGTCCAATCCGATAAATAATTTGGACATTTTTCTCCTCTACTAGCTGATGATGATGCAACTCATATTTACTCTTTTTTTCTGTGCCCTGAATCTCTCATCACCTGACCTTAAAATAACCCCCAAAGGCCATTGCCAAAAATGCCACCACCCTGTACATCTGTGCGTCCTTGCGAGGACATTTGATTCTCAACAGGATGGAACACAAACACACAGGACCTGAAGGAAAGGAAGTTAACAGTGGAGTTCATGTTTGCATGTTGAGATCAGACAGGACTCGTCCTGCTGTGATATGATCTAATATCCTGACACACACACACACACACACACACACACACACAATAGCTCAGCTCTTCTCACATTGCTCAATTTCGATCTCTCTCTCTCTTTTTCTTATCTATCACAGCAGTTTCACGGTTTCTCCTGCTACCTGTCTCTCTGCTCACTGGCCAACTGCCACAGTCATTTTATTGCCACGATAACCATCTGCTGTGGGAGGGGGACAGGAAGCTAGTTCAATGAGTGAAAGTCAATCATTGGCTATTTTTAACTCTTATTTTACCAGTCAGGGACATGCGTTATTTTCTTTCTGCCCCCTGTGAAAGTCGAAGCTGACGATGATAAATGGCACAACGATTCGTGTTCCATGCCTGTTTAACAATGCGTTTTGGTCATTTTTCTATCCAATAAAAGTCATCTAAACAGTTATCATGGAGGTGATTTGTTATTTTGTTTGTAGGGTTTTTTTACCCTTTCATAAGCTTAAATTTATTTTGTTGCATCCCAAATCAAAAGCATTTTCCTACTGTGAAAAGCTGCAGTGAAAAACAATATTAAGCGTTCCAGTTATGCAAAGCTGGTGCGTTCAATAATGGAACAAAGACACATAAATAACTCTGAGAAAGAAAAAAACACCCCCAATAAATCCCACTTTGTTCAACACACACATGAGGATTGTTGCACTGAGTAAAACACCCAAAGTCACAACCAAAAAAAGAAATAAATAAATATTCCTTCTGTTCT